ACCTAGACGTTTTGTCGCCATGTGGAAGATTGACCACAGCGTGATTTCTTCCACACGTGTAACCAGGACGATCCACGTGCAGTGAGTCTTGGCCAACCTGTCGACTGTCACTGAGTGCAGCAATGTCAATGCCGTAGCGACCGGGTGCCATGGTGACCAATGCGATACGTCACACGTAGTGCTCATATGTGCTTCAGTCCAGGAATGTGCACAAGTTCCAACATCCGATCTTGAGCGATTTCCGCGGAGGCCTACCATTGGACCGCGCAATCGCTGGGACAGAAGAGAGGCAAGTGGAATGGGGTTAGCAGAGGAGAATGTTGGGGGATGGGCAGTAGAAAGAAGAGGGGTGCCAACGGTAGCAAATCGTTGTTTATTCAGCTAGCAGTATGTAACAGATAACGGGACTACTTTCCTCCAGTGCGCAACACCCGATGCAGTATGAGGATATCAGTACCCGTGCAAGTTATAGTTGATGGTTAGACTGGTATATTGTCACGATGTTCACACCAGAACGAGATAACGAATCGAGTTGATGAAGTGTACTCCCATAAGGCCAAGAGAAATGCACCATGACCCGATCAATTCAAGTGGAGGTATGCTGGAACTTAAGTAGAAGAAGTGCATAACCCTAATGAGTAAGGGGGATTTATTCTGTATTTGTGAAACTTTATCGCCGCAAGACTCAACCGGACAGTCACTACCCATTCAGAAGAGCGATAGACCGCCATTTCGTCCGATTGGGAGTCGTCACTATGATTTGCGGCTTGTAAGGAAGTCATAGGGATGGCAGTCAGCCCTGTTCTCTACACGTTCATAACTTGCATAACATTGGAAGATGAGCCACGCTATATCACAGCTAAAAATCAGTAAAGGCGGTTCAATGCCGTCACTCGGGGCTCAGTGGCATAAATCGGTGCCTCGTAAGAATGTTGTAGAGTACCGCACCAGGAGGAACGGATCAATGTCAGAGAGAAGATAGGTTTACCTTGACCTTGAGATGTGACCGGCTAGGCTAATTGCCACAGATAATAGTCGAAAGATGATATTAAGGAGTGTTGGTTCCGCGAAGCTCAGACTTCCCATGCACACAGACGAAACAAGCTCAAGACGCCGCACGTAAAAAATGCACAAAGCGCGGTGGATAGGTCGAGAAGAGTGCATCGGAAAAGCAGTCAGTTAAAACAACGGTAGTATACCGATTGAGAAACGAAATGAGGAAAAGCTCCAAAAATGAAAAATGTAGTAATACTACAAGGTCATGGGTTGGAATCCGACAGAATATGGCGGGTTCGCATTACTGACGGATCCCAATGCGGCGAAACGGCTGTCTAGCTCTTTCCCGTATGTGTGGTGACCGCATGGCTGCGATGAATCTTCTCGAAAAGACATTACCCTACTCACACCCACCGGCCGCCACATACCGTCAAGTACAGGCAGAACCTCGCCACCACGAATCCCCGGATAATTATGGGCTCTCCCGGTGGGTACAACAATAGCAAGCGCGGCAACCAAAGTCAGATATCAGAGATGACTGTCTCATTCAGCGACCATGTGGTTTTGAATACCAATACAAAGCAACTAACCGATATCTGAAAATTCTGACACGTAATTCGTGTCACGTGGCTGAAAACACTGTGTAAACATAGCTATTAAAGTTCCCACGATGGAATTCGCCCATTAACCTTAAATAGCAATACAGTCCAGCACACAAAACAGAATTGCGTAAGTGTGGTGAGATCGTGCAGACGTGCGAACTCAAGGTTCAACTGCTGATTTGCCGTTTGGAACAGTTCTTATGAAATTATGGTACCTGAAGAGGTTTTCCGTTCGATTCGGTGACCAAACTACGGGGATAGGGCGTAAAAATTTATCTAAGATAGCAGATTTGAAGAGCTGTAAGAATCCAGCTGGCTTGCCGAACAGCCTCCTCGTGGTGCCAGCTGGGTGGTTCGGGATTTTCCCGTTACAGCAAATGGTTCGGCTGCAGTGTTCCAGGACGTGGTGGGTTTTCACCTGGCAAGCGTTCTCCCTATAAAAAGCCACATGTGTCCGTTTAACGACACTGTGACGTGGCGGATGTGACTCGCCAGTAAATAAAGTCACTGCCCCTTGCTTCATCCTGGCGAAGCATTGTATTCCAGCACGTTTATGCTGAAATTTGGGGGAGCACTGGGCCCCTGTTTGACAAAGGAACAAACGAAAGGCGTATGAACTGAGCAATCAGTCACCGGCTCCCAATGGGCCCGATTCCCTGAATTCGCTCCGCTGCCTTGCGGGCAGGCTATTCAGCCAAAGGCCCGGGGTGGTGTCCCCTAAGTCAACGCCCAACTTCCGCTTGGGCAACCGGGTAGTATTTCGCCCTCTGAAGAAAAAATGGATTTGGATGTGTTGTGTTGTGTTTTCTTTTACTATTTCCGTACTTTGTTCTGAGTTCCATGGTTTCAGATGGCTCAATGCCTATTCATAGACTTGCAATATATATATATATATATATATATATATATATATATATATATATATATATATATATATATATATATATATATATATATATATATATATATATATACAACTTACTGGATATGATTAAGAGAAATACAGATGCTACAGATGTATGGACTTTTGAGAGAGGCTCAGATAACGAGTTGAATTCATCGCAGCCGAGTTTAATTGGACGCTCGTCGCACATCCGCTAATGCACTAGACAGCCATTTCATTCCTTTCGGGATCCCATCTACCTCTGATGGGAACAGACGCTGCGATCTTACAATTACGAGGTTAAGAACACCACTGGGTCAAGAAGGACAGCAATGAGGTTGCTCAAAGGGGATACCGCGTTCTTTGCACAGTAACGTGCAAACCAGACCTTTTAACCCTGATTGGCAAGCACCTTGATATATTACTACTGATAACCAGACTGATGAGAGTGCTACTCCAAGCTCTACCCTCAGAATGAGCGGACGGAAAGTGCGATACTTACGGTCCTGCAACGGAAGGAATAAATGTACAAAGCTTTTCCGGACGTCTGATGGTTGTCTGACCGGGTCTAGAGATGAATTCCAACATATACCATTCAATCACACAGCCTTCAAAAAGAACAAGCAGACCAAACTACTGATGAGACGGGAAGTCAAATACCGACATAACTTGGGCAGGTCTTTGAAGGGGAAGACAACCTTGTGCTCTGCACCGCAACAACCTGCGACTCAGTTACAGCGAACCACGGCATACAGGACATTATAACTTAATTCAATTGTCGCAGCGTCAAATTTTCCACTCTTCTTAACCACTGACTTGTAGGAGCACTAGCATGGACTATAGTCTTACACGGAACAGTTGGGATAGGAAATACCTGACAAGTCCCAAAAGGACGAGGACTATACTGCGATTTCCCGGATGTATGATGCCAGTCTCACTACGCGTTTCAACGGCCTCAATGGTTATTGTCTACATCATACATTGCGTGGATGCATGTGTTGCGTCGATCGTGAGATTCTATCGCCATACTGATAACGAGAGAAAAGGGGAACTCATCCGAATTGAGGTGTGTCGGTATTGGAAAATCAACACGGCTGGCTGGCCGAACAACCTCCTCGTGGTGCCAGCTGGGTGGATTGGGTTTACCCCTTCCAGCAAATAGTTCGGCGGCAGTGTTCCAGGACGTGGTGGGTTTCCGCCTGGCAAGCGTTCTCCCTATAAAAAGCCACAAATGTCCGCTTAACAACACTGTGACGTGGCGGTTGTGACTCGCCACCAAATAAAGTCACCCATTGCTTATCCGGACGACCGCTTCAAGTCCCCAGCCATCAAGCACCCATTTAACACTGGCCACACGTTCAAGCACGATCAAAAAGACTGGAATACATTTACTAATTCCATAAATACGGCTAAACGCCCACATACACACTTACATACATTTATATATCAACCTATGCGACAATCCCATTGATCCATTGTACCTTGACTGATCACAGTTTGAACTCTTAAAATGATCATGTCTGTGCAGACGTGCCTCGCTTAGTCGAGAATAAACATTTTATTTATTTATTTTATTTAATCCAAACCGCAGAGCGCATCCATGGGTCGGGTTCGAACAGCAACGCTCGCGATACAAAAATCATTTAACGATTTTCCTACTATCTGCTTATAAGTAACCTGCAATTACTCCGAATTTATATAGCCAGTAAGAAAGGATGAATTAAGTCACTGAGAAATGGTGTCAAAATGCCCGAAGTGTGATTCGTTCACGCAGAAGATACCCGGATGACAGCTGGCCATCGCACAGCAAAATCTTTGGCGAACTGTTTGTGCACACACAACGGGGTATTTATGAGGCAAATCGCGATCACCTCCGCCAATGCCAGGATTCGGCATCCGAGAAGCTTAGAATGCCCCCGCCCCACACACGGTAGATCGAGATAACGACAGGATGATTCGTTCGGGCCATGTGCGAGACTATCGCAGTAGTGCACGATTTGCTCAATTCTCGGCTCAGCCACCCTGCGTGCTGTTTGCGGACGCGTTCAGACAAACGTCACATGGTGCGACCAAATTTGCTGCAACACGGCTGTATCAATGACCTACTTGTCGGATCGGCTTGTTTGCGTTTCCCCCTGATGTTTCTTTACAGTTTTCCACCTACTTGGGGACATCCGTTTGCATTACGCAAATGAGCAGACACGTTGTTTTGACGCATTCCATATTTCGTAACTGCGTGAATTCTCCCTGCTGGAACTGAATTTGTGGAACCATTTCTCCAGTTCATCGCCAATCCCCTTACCTAGTTGCGAACTAACTATTTCTATGTTGCGTTATAATTACGGATGTAGAGGGACGGTACTTTTAGTACAATAGATTCCGCGGTCTGCCTAGAAGTTTTACAGCCCATATCGTGTGAGTAGATGAATATCATCGGGGAACAAGTAGACAGTTATTGCTGCAGTAACATAATAACCAACTATCAGAAAAAGCAATCAAAGTAAACTTTGATGTGTATTTACAGTCGGTGCATATGCTCGCAACGAGAGAAGATATTACGGATAGATTGAGGACAATTGCAAGCTCATGGTCGGTGGTTAGTGAATTCCGGTCGGTTTTTGGGCTGAGCGGGAGCGCAACTCATCCAGTAGTACGTCCCGTAAGACGATGGGGTGGAATTTGCTCGCCCGGTATGCTGCGTTGTTTAGTAAACTCTGTATCAAGCGTTTGACTGCCTTCTTCTCGTGACCGTTTTGGAAAAGACCCAACTGAAGAGCAAGAGGAAGAGAAATAAGACAAGGCCGTAATCAACGAGGGGGTACTTAAATACCGAACGTCATATGAGCTAGTACACAGAATATGCACGAGTGCAGATGACGTGAATCGTGATGGAAAACGAGCCGTTATTGAAATTGGATAAAAGAGCAGTCTGAATAGAGCAGGTACACAAGTTTGAAAGGAAATAGTGCGGCCAGGTGTTAGTAGTACAAAGACTGTTTCAAATTCCTTAGAATAAAACAGATAGGCACAGCGTAGGTGATCACTGCTCAAGTGGGCATCAGTGAAGGGCATCTCTGGAGATTTGTTCACTTGTAATCCCTGTACTTAATCGGATCTGGAACTGAGGTCATTTCTGACATTGCAGGGAGTAACGGCAATTCACTATTCGTGACTTTCGGATTACCACTGTAGGAATGAAGACACGCGTGAATTGTAAACGTTTCACCGACGTTAGAGAACTGTTGCTCAAAGCGACATCACACATGATTGCGATATACATACAAACAAACAAGCGTGGTTTGAGGTACATACTCACCTGAATCAAAAAGAGATTAGCAAGTGCCTACAACGCGTAGCCTGCCAGAGACAATACTACGAGAATTCCACATCAAAGTATCCTATGCTTAACTCTTAGGGGTTTGAAGACACCAGCGACCCCCCTCACAGTCTGGTAAGAATGTACGGAGACTCAGTTTGTCTGACCTATAGGTATTGACACTTATGCAATGAGCGTCTCCAGATGCAGTTGGAAAATACCAACCAGTGTGGCACAATATGGTGATGAGACATAATGACCGATCGCATTACGTCTAAGGCCATCCCAGCCGGGACGGCTTAATCTGTTTCTTGTAAATGAAGCATATGGGCACATACAAAGCTGCTAACGCTCGCATAATGCTAGACCAACATTTCGGAATGCTTCATGAAGCTGTCGCGACTGCTGCTTTCAAACAACAAGGAACACAATACACCAATCAGTACTAACAAGGTTAAGTCATATTCGATTGTCGTACCAATTCGAAAGCAGAAACTAATTATTTACAGAAAACCCCCAAACTCATTTCCCCTTTTGTCGGAAAACGACTGGTAGACAAGTACAAGCAGTAAAAAGAGGGAGGGAAATAATGCAACATATGGATGAGCAATACAATGTCTCCATTAGACATGAAAGTAAAGTTCAACTATCCAAATTGGACTTCTAACATGATGAGAGGAAAACCACGATAATCTGTGCCGAGTATAAGTCAGAAAATCGATAGAAGTATAGTGAAGAGCAAAATGTGGGCGATAGGGAGCCTTGAATGCGGTGATGTACATTTCAATATTAACTGCACCTAAATAATGCTCCGCAAAGACTTAAGGTGTGGTATTAGTCAACATAGACACCTAATTGGTTAAGTGTTCACACCTCGGGTAAGAGGAGATGTAATGAGATCGTTACATCCCATCTGGTCATACTGTCAAAAACTCCCCCCCCCCCCCCAATCGGGTTGCTGGTGGAGTCGCAAGATTCGTAGTTGTTCTATCAAAACAATGGGCTTCAGTGGAAACGGGACCTACCCAAGTCCGGGTCAAATTCATCAGCAAGACTGTACTGAGCTACGACCCGATTTCTAAGTTAGGCCAGCATGTGAACGGCCAAACAGGAAACTCATGCCACTGGTGTTTCGTGGAATATCACATCATTTCATCAGGAGTAAACAGCTTCTGTGAGTAAAACCATACACGTCACGAGTCCGCCTCGAATGTCTATGAGCAAAAGTAAGTCTATACTACAAATACCTCGTATCATGTAACCATACACGCCATCCGTAACTTATGGCAATGTGGTCAATTTGGGTCGATTGCTGGCCAGCTACAGCTGAACGCCAAGTGGCACTCCGGCGCCCACATTGCCTAAAAGTGGTGCGAATAAGAAACAATTGGTGCTCCGCACACAGCTGTAACAGACGCTCGTCGTAGTCCATCCGTTCGGCGTTAAGCTGAGCTTCTGAAGAGTCCAGGCGACCAACTTCCGCATTCATATTCACTGCAACAGCGATACCTGAACTGGCAACACTGCGAAGCAGCGTGCTCAGCTCGTGGCAGAAGGTGGCCTTGGCAGCATCAGAACTGCAGTCAATGGGGGCATAAGCAGAAACCACAAACAAAAAGCGTCTAGTACTAGTTCGTAAACCAACCTTAGTTGATGTCGTCAAACAGGCTGCACATAAACGGCTGCACACGGGAATCCAATCAACCAACGATGGCTCAGCCTTGGAGCTGAGAATAATGGCTGCACCAGCTGTACCCGCGACTGCCGCATCCGTGGCTCCAGATGAGTGCAACCAATAACGAAAGGACAAGCCGGGCCCAGTAAATTCAACAAAACCCCTGAGTCAGTGATCCTAGTTTCAGATAAGCAGCACAACGCAATACCCATTGTGTTCAACGTGCGCGATTGTGCAGCCTGTTGACCTACTTATCTTAGAGTGCGAAAGTTGAACGCCGCCAGGAGAACGGGACAGCGTGGCCTTATAAATGACTGTTAACTTTAGGCGTCCGGTGAGTACTGCGAGAACGTGGCTGCAGATGGTTCGACTACAATGGCAGTACGGTTGAGGACAACAAAGCTGCGAGGTACAGAATGAAGATTAGTAATGTGGGGAGTTGAGCAAGAGAAACAGGTGGAAAAGAAAGAAGGCGCCAGCAATAGCATCTTTTCGTTTATCCACCCTGTTGTATGCAGCATACAAGGTGCCCTTTGATAATCTGCGCGACCGTCGATGCAGAACGTAGTTGAAGTCAAGAGAAATGGTCATGGCTGTATGTGGGCTGAGATATTGCGAAGGCACCCAGATCTAGACAGCAGGACGATTGGGTCCTTAACCAAAGCCTTTGATTCAAAAGCCTGTCCGCAAGGCAGCATGGACGGGGGAATGATTCGGTTTTCCTGAAATGGACGCCAGCTCATTACCACCCTCCCTCCAAGGAGATTGAGATTGTCTGGCTAATCTGTTAGGAATAGCTCCGAAGGGGCGAGGGTCAGCATCCAGTATAGTTCAATGGGTCGAAGAGGTACCCAAACCGTCGCACCACGGTAAAGTCTAGTCTCGTTGTGACGGACGGTGGAGCAGAATTGTTCCTATTAGTCGGTAAATGTTTGTAGATACAATGGCATTGGCAAGTGTGAAGCATTTTGTCCCACTAATGTTCTAATTCATATACAGCGAATATGACGCAATAAGACCGAGTGAAACCATCGTTCAGCTCAGTTTTCCCTCTATGCAGTGTGATCGGAAGCCGATGAGCTAAACCGTTTCATCAATGCCAAGAGTGGAGGAGTAGCCTTGCGGTTCAAAGGAATGCTGGCGCCCGTGATACCAAGCCATTAACCATAGCAGATGGATGGTATTTGGGAGCAAAACAAATCAACCAATGTGCAACCTGGGCACAAATCAGCGATAGGAGATAGGGCAAAACACAGCGAGGAACTCACAGCCTTTGGACAGTCATTGACCACACGTGCACAAGACGCGCGCATCACCTTCGGGTCGTTGATGGATAGCCAGTCTCGATCGGTGGCCAGTTGTAGACATGACTGGGATGCTAGCGTGTCGCCAGAGGTTAGCAGACAAAGCAGCTACAAAGGCGGCAGTTGGAGAGGCGAAGACAGAGCGGAAAGTTAGAAACATAAAGAACGAATGAATGAAAAAGTATGTTAGAGTAACGCCACGATGAGAAGGAAACGTATGAATGAAACGGGGTACGCTCCCAAAAGAGTTCAGAGTGACAATAATATCTCAGGGTGATAAAGCGATTTATCCTTCTACAGACAACTACACCTCGGGTGCCTAAGGGACGAGAAACACGGGCAGTCCAAGTGGACGTTGGACGAGAACACGAGCAGCCAACGACAAGGACTCGAGTACGACCGCAGAACACAATGATTCACCAATGAGAACGAGGCGAACTTAATAGCCCCGTATGCCTATATAAGGAACGGAGTGGTTGCTGACAGTATCCATTATTGGGTTTGCTATCTACCAGCTACTGCTACTTAACTCCTATCAATCCCGCACTTAGGACGCCACCTGGAATATTGGCGAAACGTTTGTAATCAAGTTGCCCAGCTCGGAGAACTCCATCACAAGTGAACAAGCCCCCCGAGCTACCAATATTTCAAATCATTGCGAAAACAGATCCCAGTTCACTGTGCGCAGAAGAGACGAAAATGTAACCCAATCTAAATTCCTAAGTTCTCTGAGTGATGCCATCATAGGTAAAAGGTTTGGTTTCAAAAGTATTATTGGGAATGCAAAAATGAGATGTACAACATTATGTCCACTACATGGAAAGAGAGGCAGGACGTTCACAGTGGTGTTAAAATCGTCGTAAGTAAATATTAAGTCCAATCTATTGTTACCTCTCGTTGGTTTTCGCACGGCTTGGGACCATCCCAGTAGCCGAATTTCTGAGATGAGACCTCCGAGTCTAGATGGTGCAGATCAATTTTCCCAGCAAACACTTGGCATGTTAAACTCACCCCCAATTATTTTGTGAGCGAAAGTTAAAGCAGAGGCCTATTCAAAAGCAGCAGAGAGGTAATTTAAGGGGACGGTGACACACAGGATGTGGGTATTGTGCAACTCCATAGACACTAAGACGGATTCATTGGGGTTATTTAGCTGTGGGTCTGAAATGGAGTGGGCAAATAGCTGTTCCCGAACATAGATGGCGCATTCACCACCATTGCCCGTATGACGGCTACTCACGAAGGAGGTGTAGACCTTGACATGGTAATATGTATTAGGTGCATGGATGGGAACCAAGTTTCAGTTACTAGTATTAAATGGGAAAGTGTGATAGTAATGAGATGGCAAAAACTGTGCATCTTATTATACGGCGAACGTGCATTAATAAGAAGGATAGTGATATTGCCCAACTCTGAAGGCAAGTGGAATATTTCATGGAAAATAGGGGGTTACTACTGTGGTAGCTTTAGTGCAATTGGCTATGGTGGTGGTAGTTGAGAAATATTAGAGCCATGGTAAATTGCACTAGGTTGAGAAACTGGCTACTAAGGCGATGTCACTGTGGGTGTGTCCGACTGGGAGGTAAGGGCAGTGGAGGTTAATTCCAACGTTGGCCCAAAAAAGCATCATCATCATCATCGTCATCATCAATACAGGTTAACTGTGGGCGAGCAACAAAAATCAGCTATTGTAGCACAATAAAAAGATACGAACCTAAACCTTAGATAATACAAAAACAAGAAAATATGTGTTATAATGCTAAGTAGCATTGAAGAGGGGATGCAAGCGGTATTGGGAGAGACAAATAAACTCATAACAGAAACGCCGGCTCTTCGCCATGGCACCTGTGTATCCAAACAAACGTGTTCATCGTCCTTCGGAACCCGGCCAGCCAGTCAGGACACACCAAGCAACGTTAATTTCGAAGTGAGAGCCTTCATCGCTCTCTACCAAGTGGTCGTTTGGCCTCCCCTCTTCCTCTTCTATCCACAGACCTGGCAAGCAAACAACCTACGTGGCGGGAGTCGATGTGCTTGCATGTGCAAAAAGTGGCATAGCCATCGGAGCCTGGTATGTGACATAATGTGGCTGAGCGTTTAACTCGCCCTTCCTGCACCAAATACGCGACACTGAACACGGTCATAGCTCACTCGCTGCTCCCACCAGACATGACCTAAGCTGCGAGTACAACGATGATCGAACGTATCTAGCCCCTTTATGTCTCTCAACCTGATGGGTCAGGTTTCACAACGGTACAGGAGGGCGGAAAGCATGGCTGCATTGTAAACTCTGTCCTTCAGGGCATTGATGCCATTGGTGGCGGAAGTTGGCAAAAGCGCTATCGAGTATTTGCCATGTGGTTCATGACCTCATCTTCGATTTCACAGGCGCTGATACAACTGAATAGGTAGTTGGACTTCTGAACGACTTCTAGCTGATTCCCACCAAGGATCAGCGCAGAAGAGCATCGATGCCAATCATGGAGAAGTACTTCGTATTTTGAGGGTGTAAAGCATAGACAAAAGCGATCGACAGTCAGTGCTCACTCTCGTCCCGTATAGCTTCGTTAACACCAGATATCCTGTTGCTCGGTTCCTGTATCAGACGGAACAACTTACGATGGCTACCAAGAGCAGCGGCCGTTTCCATCTCCGGTGCATGATGAGACCGTCACGCCTCGCCGTCTCTATTTGGAATAGCACGCAATTTCGCTCTGAGGTTTGTGCGAGTCTCGTGTTCTCTTCCAGCTGGGAAAAGTCAGTGAGCATTCAAAAGACTGCGTTCAGACCGAATGTGTCGGTTGGTAATTTGAATTGTCACAAGAAAAGGTGCCTGCTGCCAATGATGTCTGCCGGATAGGTGACGGGTGGCTATCAACTGTTTTCAATGAGTGCCAACTCATCCCAGATACCAGCGTAATTTCATACACATTCAAAGCACCTGGCTTCACAGTCGGATGATGTCTATGCGCTCCCAACATCGTTGCCGACGGCCGGCGAAACGCAACCGCAGGTCGGCACATATAAGTGCGCGGTCAAAGTCCACGTCCATGCTCCAAATTGAACGACAGTTTTGGACACAGCCTCCCCAGCAGTAACTGATTGCGATGTAATCGAGTTGAGCCCATGACTTGTCCGAGGCCGGCAGACGCCACACGACCTTAAGCCGGCTGCTGTGTCAGAAGCTAGTGTTCGTTAGAAAGAGACGGGCATTTTCAAACAGGTGCAGCAATTGTTCACCGTTATCATTACGGCAGCCGGTATTATGTTGGCTGCCCGGATACAGCGCATCAGTGGACAATTTTCCAAGTTAGGCGTTCAGATCACCAACCAGCACCACAGTATCCGTATTAGTTCTGCAACAAGAGATCGCTTAGTTAGTGGTAGAAGATATCTTATATCGAATCAGCGCTTAGGTTTGTGGGAACGTAGGCAGCAGACAAACAGACACCGTTTGTCCCCCTGCGAATTCGAGGCTTTGAACAAGCCGGCCAGTAGGACGGCACACGTCTGGCTGTTGACTGGGATTCAAGCGACCAAAGCGGCTTAGGCTCGATGGCTCAAAACCACGTCCACACTGCATTCACAGGCATCAGAAAATCAGTATATCCCATATCCATGAAACCTATAGCTCTCCTTAATTAGGTAGAGAGACCATGCAAGCACGTCAGTTCAGTCGAAAATCTACGATCAGGGCATATAAATGCGGTGGACCCACTTGCCACGACTCCCTTCGCTAGGGCAACATTAATAGCAGAAAGAAAACGAGGTTGGAAGCGAATATAATCAAGACATTTGACCCAGAAGCGCACTGAGGAAGTCACCTCGTTTGGTGATGAAACGTTTGCATCCCAATTACGAAGCTCGACGAACAAGTGAACTCAGGAACGATCAATCCGAGCTAGCAGTGAATCAAGTCTTTTTGAATCAAGACAAACTTGTGTCAAAATGATCAGGATGGAATGAAGAAATAACAGTCAGACGCGAGAAACCGAATGAAAAAGTGCGAATGACTGAGCCATCTCTGCTAATAGCTAACCACTGGTGTGGACCATCCCAGGACCTTCATCCAAGAAGACGGCACGCACCAGATAGACCAAGTCCCTCAGTCAAGTTTTTTAAGCATCTGTGCCACGTCACGGTTTTACCTAACTTGGTGCAGCCACGGCATATAGTGCACGCCGAGAAAGTCGCTTAACAGCATACAGAGGATTAGACCTAGAAGCGGTTGAGAATAAGCACACACTAGAGTGACGCACCAGAAGGCATCTTGCTAAAAATCAACTGGCGCACCTCATCATTGCTCGCTCGGTGTTCCCGCCAAATTTGATCAATACTCCGCAAGTACTAGTGGTCAAACAAGGTCAAGCGTCAAATGTGTTCACTCAGAACTGGCCAGGTCGCTGATCCATACAGTAAGACAAGCAGTGTCGCGGCGTTGTACACCCTACCTTCACTAACAAGCAGATATCCCACTATATCCATAGATAATTGAGACTAGAAAAACGCACGGGCCTTCCAGATACGCGAAGTAACTTCCGCAGTGATGTGACCACCCGAGGAAGCATACTTACTAAGGTGAGGGAAACGATCCACAAATTCCAGGGGCTGTTTGCTGATTGCTAAAACCGGTAGTATGTAGGTCCAGTCCTGCAACAATAACTTTCATTTTAAAAGTGAAAAGTACGTGCCGAAGCGTGCAACGCTACACGTCAGTCTACGAAATTGTGTTTGTATAGCCAATACAACAGACCCAAAGAGACCTATGGCGTTTGCATACCCAGGTCTATCAGCCGGTCACCTGCTAGCATTTCGACCCAGGAAGAGTTTGAAAGAACTGTGGCATTTATGATCATTTTGATCACAAAGATGAGGAGAAAAGAGACAAAGGACAACCTTGACGAACCCAACCTGTCGTGGAGAACTCAAGAGAGGGTTACCCGTAGAACCTCATGGGGCTCCGAAAGTCATGGTAGAGAGACTTACGAATAAAAAGGAGTTTAGCTAGCACTGCTTTACAGATAGGCAGTGCCACAAGTTGGCGCGTTCAACAGAGTCGAAGGCGGTTTTCAAGTGAAAGAAATCCACCATACTCGGTCGTTTGTAAATGTGCCCCTTATCTAACACTTGGCGAAGAGTAAATATGTGATCGATAAAACCACGACTAGGGCGGAAATCAGCCTGGACCAGTAAGTTGTGGGAGAATGAGACCCGTGAAAAGTTGGGAGATAATGGGTAAAAGGTTAATGCTTTGATGATTTTCGCAAAAGATACGCCGGCCCCTCTTTATGATGGGCACAACAGTTGACAGTCGCCAGTCTGAAGCCACCTACCTCTTCACTGTTCTAAATCAGAGTAGCGAAATCCAGTCTACAAGGAGTCACCGCCACCTTTCAGCAAAGATAGGGAAATATCGCTGGGTTCAGGAGCCTTGTTTCGTTTCAACACCGCGAGCTCATGTCGAATCTATTTCAACGTGGGAAACGTGATGTCGACTCCCCACGTTGACTCGGGTGATTCAACAGGTAGCAGTTTCGACTAGGCAACCTGCTCTTCAAAATGTTCCGCCCAACGGCTAGGCAACGAGGATGATAACGTATCAACTGTTTATCTTTCGCAGTTATTGTCTCATTAACCGAAGGTTTTCTCGGATCTGTGTTCAGAATGTTCTGGAATAGCCCACAACTGTTCCCAATAGCACTAGCTTTCTCCATTTCACGGGCCGCTGCGATCCAGCAACGTTCTCAGTTGATTCGAAGACTACTTATCATACATCGTTTCAGGGTGTTGCGAACATGCCCAGACTTAGTACCCACTGCCAAGTATTTCCCTGTTTCCATCAGAATGGAACAATGGTATATGACGGGTAAAAAAAGCATACACTTAACGAGTCCCGCAGGTTGGCAATAGAAATACTAACAGATTGGCAAACCACATAAGTGGTTGAAGTAAGGAGCGTCAGTGAGATAAAAGGTAGAAGTATAACAGTTTTAGGGGGATAAAGTGGTACGACGCAAAACTGGCTAAGAAATTATTATCGTTGGTGATGGTAGCAAATAAAAATGGAGTACTCACCGGTTCGCACAGATTTACGACCGTGAATTTGGGGTATAAATCCAAAGAGGCTGGTCAGCCTAAATATATACAAGCGTTTTCGTTCATAAAACAAAGCGCTGGAGCTCAGTGCGACGTCCAATCGTTTTTTAAACGTATCTAATGTGGGGGCACAAACAACTGAGTTTGGAAGAGCGTTCCAGGGCCCGCAGATCCGGAGGGAGAAATAGGTTCTCCGACAGTCTAGACGACTGTACTGATGGCTCAGCTTTAAACTGTTACCGCGAAGGTTAGTGTTTGGGCTGAGCTTCAAGAGGTGGCGGCATACGTGACTGGGATCGCTCCTTATCTGGTACACTAGTATGAGGTCTCCACGAAGTCGCCGGTACCGTCCGCAGAGATCCAATCACAGTTATGACGTCTCAAGTTGGTCCTGCAGCAGGTAGCGAAAGTGTTAGGATCATCAATACTATTCATCACAAACAACCGGTTGGCGAGTTCATCATGATTGGAGATGTTTCGGTGTTGCTCCTCCCAACACTGACAGGAGCAACACCGAAACACCTACAATTCGAATACGGTCCCTGTGATCGGAACGACCGAGGTCTCAAGTGAGGTTGCATATCGCAATCCAACCACAAGGTGGGTATCGCAAAAACAACTTGAGTTCCTCATGACATTGTTGAACTGCGGACCGCGAGTTCAAGTTACAAGTAAGAAGCTTAGACGTTAGGTGCTTCTTTGAACCGTGAAGAGTGAGCACCAGGTGTGCGCTCATGGTCGGAATCAAGGCACGTGTCCCAAATTTAACGACGGTCTTGGACTGATGTGCCTCATCTGTAGCTGATAACAATATAGTCAATTTGAGCCCAGGACATTGTAGAATCCAGTGGGCACCAGGTGAAACGATATGAGCGCTTGTGATGGAAAGCAGTACCATAAATATAAATATTGTGATCGACACACAGAGTTGCAGGAATCGATGATCCTGATTATCTGCTCGGTGTGCAGTGTTGAGTAAGCTGACACGTAGTAATGCACCGAAGTGCAAAGTACTGTTGCAGAACTGAGCGGACAAACCACCGCTTCCTGGTACCGCCTACACTGGAAGTGGTCGATGGGTTAAAGTACCCTGACAGCTGTGGTGAGCACCTCACTGAGGATGTGGCTTCCTTAGCAGAGAAGGCGGTGTGGTCTATAAAATTTGCGACCGTATAACCCGAGGGAGCGGGATATTTGCGATAAGACTGGTGCTACTGCATGGACAATATGCAACGCAACTTATCCTTGAAGTCATTCATACATGGGTCGTCTCTGGTCAAACCAATGCAGAGAATCAGCAGTATGCCAGCAGACCGTACCAACGTTGCTCCGCGTTGCCATGCGAACACAACCTGTCGCACGCAAGACAGCGATCGTGTGAGGCCCTAAGTTACCTGAATTACTGGTAACTCGGGTGGCTTGTTTCGTCGTTGGGGTGTACACCAAGCTTGGCACTTTGATTGCAAAAGAATTCATCAGCAGTAAGAAAGTAAATTGTCATTACAGCTTAGGAGCAAGAGCTGGTAGAAGGCAAATCCTGGTGGCAATAGGTTTGCGATCAAATTAAAAAGCTAGGCGAACATCCTAACAATGGATACTGCTAGGTCGCATACACCCGTGCAGATTTGAACCAGTGATATTTGGCTTAGACGGCGGATGCCTTAACCCTTCAGCCCCCAGGCCGTCTGGATCACCAACGCTTGCGTAATTTTGCATTCATCTCTGATGGGAACAACGGGTGCGGAATACTGAGGTTCACAAGCTGGCGGTTGGTAAGAAACCCTCTGGTGCCACATAGGCTCACGTACGAAGGTATGCTTGACGAACACCTCCATAGATGTGTAGTATAGAGGTGGTCACTGCGCCCAGTTGGGTGAAACTAAGTGGTGGCCAATCGATAAGGGGACATAAAGACATGAAAAAATTGAACGAGAACTCCTGCCAATATGGTACGCATAGGCTTCGCGGAAAGGAGCCTCGAGATGGTCCCTATCAGCGGTTATAGACACTAACGGAGATGGCGCAGCTGCGCAGTTAGCCACACTTCTGAATTTGGTTTCCTGCAATTAGCCGATAAATTTCGATCCAGACAAATTTCAAGTAATTCATTCGTAGCTCCCTTTGCTCTGCATGTTCTGTCTGCTTTCTACTTCGTTTCTGCACCAATGTTGGCAAGGTGAGCCGTAGCGTTACGCAGTCAAACTATGTGCACATGTCAATACTGCATTAAGTTCATCAACCTGAGCTATTTTCTTGGATATAATTGTTACTTTTTGGTTTTTTCCATCTCATTACTTCATACTCGTAATAAATCCATCGTTCCAGTGATCCACCGTTACAACAACTGGATTCACTGCACTAGATGAGACGATCTTACACCCACTTTGTTGAAGGACGAAGGTGGCACATGGGTGATTGACCTATCTTCTCAATTAAAAACCATAGGGGACACAGAAGAGACACCACCTTCAGATTGATGACCGTCGAAAGGGGTTTCCCATCCTCGAATTTCATGCCAAATGTGTGTGAGGTGAATGGAGAAATGGACTTGTCTGATCGTGTCCTGATGCACAGGGACGCAAGGTGGTGCCCAAATACGCGACTGGAAAATAGGCCGGTTAAATATGTCCAACACACATTGCAACACGAATGCAAACAAGTTGACGGAGTACTAAGAAAGGATCTGAAGTAAGCCAGAAGCATCTCCTAGGGCTACTGTACTTCATGATGTGTTCAGCAGCTGTGACAAGGGAATGAACTAGAACGCCCCAGTCGATTCCTTTTTGCACAGCCTACTGTCTCCTATTCAGTAGTTCAAAAGAGATCGAAAGAACAGTGCGCATTTGCCCACAAAATAACTTTGGAGTAGCCCCGGACCACAGGTAATGTGGAAGTTGTGTTCTGGAAAACAAGGGCTGGTGATCCCGATGTAGACAAGCATAAGAGCGCGGCGACTGGCAATCAGGCACCAACTTAAAGGGGCTCAGCAGTCGGCACAAACACGCCAATCTTTGGTGACGTGCAGTTAATCAATATTGCTCGCTAGCAAGTTTTGGTTTGGGATAAAAAGCTACAGGACAAATGTTTACGTAACGCGAGTAGACTGGGTCTTCAATCACTTCCTCGGAAGCATTTACAAGCAAAATATCAGCCGCAAGAGCTAAAAGTGCAACAGATCAGTTACTCACTTTCACTGCTGATTCTCCGTGAAGTCGTCCAGTCAAATTCAAATCCACAAATTCTACCAACTGCTGCGGACTTGGTAAACTGAAAAAGAAGAAAGTAAATATTCACTTAACGAATTGAAATAGTAAGTGGAGTCAGGAAGAAGTGAAAATGTAGGAAGATGAGGGCACCTAAATATTTCCGAATTTGCGGAACGAAGCGATCGCAAGATAGTAGTGAAAGAGTCAGTAGACGGTCATAGAGAACGGGTGCGGTAGTAATTTAGTTCGGCCTGATCGATCCGTGCAAATGCAAACATCGAACTATCTCGCATGAGTGAGCACAGTCCGCTTCGATGGGCGTGTAGATACTTACCAGTTGGCGAAGCCGGATGTTCTGAATACGTATCTAAGTACGCTGACGTCCGAATAAGTAAACGCACTCTGAACACAGCAGAAGGCCACTGGTCGCATATTTAGCAGACGTTATTAGCAGCAGGCATGTTTTCTTGTAGCAAATCAAGTTGCCGAGCTGGATATTTGGTCTCCATGACGTCTCCGAAAAATATGAATGCTCGCCGACACATTCAGCCTGGCAGCAAACACAACGAGACTCACAAAGACCTGAGCGCAATTGCGTGCTAACCTGAAGAGAGATCACGAAGAGTGGTAGTCTCCTTGTGCACCAGAGATGGCAATGGTCACTGGCCTTGGTAACCAGCGGGTTATTCCATTTGATACAAGCAGCAGGAAACCTGACGTCAGCGAGACCATACGTGACGAGAATGGACGGCCGATCCAAAGCTTGTCCAAACGCTTGGACCATTGGACCGAACACTGAAAAGCAGCTTAATCAGCCAGAATTAGCAGCTTCTCTTGCGGCCAATGATCTTCTTTCTATCTGGACCGTCTCCTAGGACGCGTCATTACGCACCGAAGTCAAACGTAAGATTAGACGGTTGAAAGTGAATAAGACCACGGGAGCGAATAGAATTCCTCCAGCTCTACAAATTCGGGGAACCTGACCATGCAGACGATATGCACAAGTTACTTGTTAAGCTGTGAGAGCGGGAAGTTGTCCCAACAAACTGCAGCCGTTCGGTAATAGTCCCAATTTTCAAGGGGGGCTCATTTTCAGAATGTGGCAATCATTGAGGGATCAGTAAACTCTCAATTGTCTCTGAGCTACTCACCTCTGTCATTCTTCAGAGAGTTGCTGGCACACGTGGAAACCAGATACTTGAGAAGAAAGCAGTGTTTCGTCGCATTTACGGTTGGATTGATCACATTTTCACATTAGGTCAATTGTTGGAGCCCTGCCATATTTATCGACGAGCCACCGTAGTCGTGTTTCTCGACATCAAAGGTGCCATCGATTCGGTTGATCGATGTGCCCTTTGGGACTGTCTAATTAGGAAAGGTGTGCTCGAAAAATATGCAAACAATATCAGAGCACTTTATTCGCATAGTTCGGACAGATTGAGGGCATACGGCAAGCTGTCGCCGCTCTTCAATATCCAAAGCGACGTGAGACAAGGATGCCTGCAGTCACCCTTTCTTTTTAACTTCTCCATTGATAAAGTCATGAAAATTGCATTCAGTGGACACGATCTGCAAGGTGTGGAACTGCTCCCAGGTGAACGACCACTTGACTTGGAGCATGTCGACCACATTGCCCTTATCTGTGATAGCTTTCAATGGTGCCAAGTAGGACTGGACAAATTAGCTTTGGCTGTCAGTCGTTTCAGGCTTCACTTTGAACCCCCCGAAGTGCAGTCTTTCTCCAAGATTGGCAGTGATCCACCCCTGCATTGACCTATGATATTGATCAGCTAGAAGTGGTCGAGAAATCCAAGTATCTAAGCAGCTATATCAGCGCCAGTGTAATGGAAGATGTGATCACAAACGCATAGCAAAAGCTCGCGACGGTTTGCCAATCTCCGCCACCTGTGGCGCCGGCACAAAGGGCAGAGCTTACAATGTAACCGTCTGTTCAACCTTATAGTATGGTTGCGGAAGCTGACTCATTAAACCGACAGACACAAAGAGACTAGCTACGTTCGACCATCGCCATCTTCACAGCTTGGCTCATGCATGGTGAGAACACCGCGAGAGCAATGATCGTGTTGGATATCGCGTACTTGGTGCAGGAAGAGCAAGTGAACTCCGCACCGATATCTCCTTCAGTAGGCTCCGATGGCTGGGTCAGGTGTTGCGCATGGCAGCCCAACGAGTGCCGCGTCGTGCGTCGTTTGCGTACCGGGGCTGTGGATGGAAGAGAAGGAGGGGAGGCCAAACGACGACTTGGTCACGAAAAAATGAAGGTCTTCATTCCGAACCTGGCGTCGGTTTGTGTGTCCCAAATGTCTGGCTGGGGTCCGAAAGATGATGAACACGTTTGGTTGGATACACTAGTTGACATGACGAAGAGTCGACCTTAGTGGCGTTTGTGTTGTATGTTTCCTTGTCCCTCTCCAACCAGGACGCAGCGCACCCATTTTCTAACAGAAAGGTGCTCAGTGGTTAAAAGCATCTAATCCTTTGGTTACTTAATGTTTTACATCAGCGATACGTGTCGAAGGATTATGAGGGTAGGCTGTGAAGCAGATGTAACTCCTATACGCACACTTCCTGATCTCATCCACTTTTGTTCACACTAGACGTGGGATGCGCAAGAAGAATTGCGACACCCCAACCCAACTTGGAGTGTGCTTTCCGATTCAAACCACCCCACAAAAAGGCAACTACGCCTATGTAGCGAGTATGAATGGTAGACCCTAATTGCTTCGGCCGAAATGTGAGGTGGAACACTCTGTGAGTGGATCCCCGCTCGACCGTTTTATGCTTAGTATCTGTGTGTACAACAGATTCCCTTGAGGCTCAAGAAAATCGTAAAACTCCTCGGGTACAAACCAAAACAAGGCCAGGACTTAACTACAGTACTATTCAAAGAGAAATCCAAAGCGTAAGATGGGCATACCTCAACAGTACCCATCCAGTTCTGAAACAACCGGGTATTTATAAGGCACACTAGGAATGCAAATCACCTCAATTGTCACTAAGCGACAAGCTCACACAACACAGAGTCCGTGAGCGGAATGCAACAGCTACTGTAATGAGTCCGACAAGCTTACTGGTTTAGTTCACTGTACGATGCATAGAGAGTAGTGGGAGTAATGCGTCACGTGGCAAATATAGGATGAATAGAACAAGTGCGGATATGTTTCTGGGATTAGGGAATCAATGAAATAGGTGTGTGTGTGTGTGTGTGTGTGTGACTCCTGGGGTAAGTTGCACAGCGCAGGAACGAGCATATAGCAGTGAGGATGGGAATGAGACCATGGGGAGGGCATCGAATATAGAATCACAGTGAGTAAAACAAACAGTCGGAAGGCCGGAGTTTATCAGATGGCACAGTTGTCCATTAAGGCTATCCGAAGTAAAATCCCGATATCCATCTTACGAAGTACATGGCAATTATACCGGTTATAATAAAACATTGGGCGTCAAAAAGTAAACATATGAAGTATACAAATAGGTGGCAGTCCGGCGGTTGTCAGATGGTGTAGGTGGTGGGGTTATCCGGAGTACAATCCTGTATTAGGAGAACAGCTATTAGACATTCATTTATTGTGAACGAGCTTGATAGCTATGCTTTACTCTTCCTATTTTCTATTTCTTGACTGTTGTTTAAACGCACTACTGGGTTAGCCCGATTGGTACATCCACGTCATTGTTAATGGACGCTCATCGTCATGTCCTTCTCAGCAGCGCCATTTGCAAGAACATATTCTATTGGTTTCTTCTTCTCATCACTGTTATGCTTGGTTATGTTAAAGGAATATTTAGTTGTCACACAATCATTGTACTAGTTTTCAACTTTTGGGTCTGCATTCCTTATTCTCGTTTGTTTCGTGACTTTTGTTTAAACGTTTCATTCCGTCATTCTGCTTGGCCAGTGCCCGTCAATGTAAACGGTCGTTCGCTTTACGCTTGGAGTCCAATGATGCTATTTTTAAGGACATACGCGATCCGCTCTTGAGTACACGGTCGCTTATTCGCCGTTGCATGTGACGTTTTTCCTTCAGTTGGTTGGCTCAAGTGTACTTTAGTAGCTCCCCTTCATTTTGCCTTCAAACTATGTAAGCAACTGTGATTTTCTGTATACAAGTCTCCTTCTGGCTCGTCTTGGACTTCTTCTTGCGGTCGTGGGGTGAAGGCGTCAGCGGCGACACAACATCCTGATACCGACCTTACGAATTACCAGGTAATATTATCGCCCACATTAGAATCGAATTACTGGTGTTAATAGTTGCAGCCTCCATGCGCCGGTTCTCCTAGGAACACCAATACAACAGACTGGGTTCTAGACGCCTGATGTGTAAGCATGGTATACTGTGTCATGCTTATTGGCGCGTATGGACGAGTTAGTCTACTCTAACCTGTAGACCGGTGAACAAGATAGTGGCCCACCGTGGATACAGCGAGTTAGTTCTAGAGATGGAAACTCACCGTACCATTTCGCCTCGCTTAGACATCCCGTGCAGCTGACCAGAAATCCAGTAGCCCAACTCTTGGCAAGCATTTGTACTGGAGGACCGCGTGTACTGAGGTCCCGTCATCAGCTCACGACAAGTATCGAACAGGCGCCTCAGCGACGGGTTTTCCACCAACACACACACCTGATGCCATGGCAAAGAGTAATCGAGCGACAATCGCTGCCGCGTTGCATTCGGCAATTCACCCATCCCGTTGGTTTCCACATGCTGGATGTATCGTTTGCGAGCGCAATGCAGACAAAATGGGGTGTACGGGTTTGGTATGCCTCGTTCGGAACCTCCAGACGAGTCAGTCGAATCTACTTCATTACGACAAGACAAACAAAAAGAGGCGAGACGAAGTGGCGGAAGGTTCGGTTCTGGTAAATAGCGGTAATCCAAAGCGGATTGTTTATCACGCATAGGTAGAGTACATCTGGAACCGAAAGAAAGATTGGCCAACTTGTGAGCAACAAAAAGAGCACTAGTTTGCATGGGGGATTAGCGAACAAACAAGAAACAGCAGAAAAAATGTAAGACGACAAAACTCCAGTAGTTGTAGATCCCTATTCGTTACTATGGTGGTGGGGCAAATAAATGTAGCTTCTGAGACATCAGTAGTGAAAGCTAAAAAAATTATAGGTGTAAAGAGAGTGGATGAAGCAATGGTATCACAGCCACCATACCTTTCAGGGAGTTTACCAAACGGACACTGAGGATAGATGGATATAAACTGGAATCAACGAGAAAACAGAGAGAGTAACAGAGGAAGTCATGTGGAAATGACAATGCGAAATGTTGACAGGTATTGTCGCAGCAACAGAGAGAAAAGAGCAAAGGTTAGATAAGTTGGAACGGCTCCAGAAGATTGTCACGTGTGAAAATCAGTCTGCAAAAGCACAGATGATGAAAGATCGATGAGGTGAACTAATAGTAACAATATAAGAACATTGAAAGTACGTGGCCAGTAATTAAAACCTAGTGTCATGACAGCAGATGTAAACGGGAGGCTAGGTGGTGACGAATCACAATCGAAGAAAACCGCGTGCGGTGCGGAAGCACTGGGATGGTGACCCCACGGAGCTTTCAACACTTGACCGAGTAGGAACACCGCTCGGTCTCAAGAGCATGAAGTGGGTCGAAATGCTGACGTGGTCTAGAAAGTTTGTAGCCTAACAAATAAACATATTATCATTGTTAAAATAAGTAAACATTGTTAAAAAAGTATCACAGAACGATATACTTCAGTCCACAGCCACCGTTGATAAGTGAATCTAATTCAAGCACAGTGGAGATAAGAAAAGTGAGAAAGGGGATAAATTTGAGTAAGTGCAGGAACATTTGTAAAAGCCACTCAAAGCCGATGCATATGGAAAACAGAAGCAGTTAGTCTACGGAGACTTACGCACTTTTGAACGGGGTCGTAGAATCTGGTTTCAGAGCCAACGGTTCCGTGTAAGCCGATCAGTTCGGTCTGGCGACGAATTTCATAGTCTGAGCGGGGGCACCAAAGGGAAAGTTAGTTCCAAACATGATTACTCATAAGTAGAGCAAACGAAGCGAGGAACAGCGGCACGTAGCGTTATAGGGGTGAGATACCGCGGGGCTGTAACGAACATGTGGGAAAGTCAGCGCATAAATAGCGGAGGCAAATGTGTACACCGGCATAGTCACTTTCCGGTGATTTCATGAGTGTGTTTTAGGGACAATGCAAATGATTCTCCATCGAGAGGTGCACACGATAAAATAGCCGGTTAAAATCAAGATGAACATCAAAAAAGGTCACAAAATGATACACTTGCAATCACTATTTCTTTATACTAATTGGTATGTAAACTATTTGGATTCTTTTTGAGAGCATACACAAAACCTTAAATATATCACGTAAGCTTTAGCGTCACCATATAAAATAGATGAAAATAGCGAATTTGAGAACGGAACAGTCGAGAATTACTTAACGCTAAAGGGAATGGTTTCCACAAGAATGTATGACGATATATCAGAAACATTAGGAAGAAACGGTCCTGTCTATCCAACAATCAACAGGTGGCATAGGGAAGGAAATGGGGTATGGAGTCATGCGAAGACGCGGCTATCGACGCCGATGGCCTAAGAAAACGCATAAAAAGCCGGCAGCATAAATGGAACTG